AGCTGGAGAAAAGTGTCAGGAGTGATCTGTGACAGAAGAGTGTCAGCTAAGGTGAAGGGAAAGGTTTACAGGACAGTGGTGAGACCAGCCATGATGTATGGTTTAGAGACAGTAGCAATAGGCAGAAGACAGGAGGAGGAGCTGGAGGTGGCAGAGTTAAAGATGCTAAGATTCTCTTTAGGAGTGACAAGAATGGACAGGATCAGGAATGAGGTCATTAGAGGGACAACACAGACAGGAAGGTTTGGAGAAAAAGCTAGAGAAGCCAGATTGAGATGGTTTGGACATGTGCAGAGGAGGGACAGTGGATACATTGGTAGAAGAATGTTAGAGATGGAGCTACCAGGGAGGAGAAAGAGAGGGAGGGCAAAGAGGAGATATATGGATGCAGTGAGGGAGGACATGCAGGTAGTTGGAGTCAGAGTAGAAGATACAGAGAACAGGGACAGATGGAAATCAATGATTTGCTGTGGCAACCCCTGAAAAAGGGACAAAGCCGAAAGAAAAAGAAGAAGAAGATTTATCTCGATTAATCACGATTAATTGTGATAATTTTTTTTTCTCCACATATTTAGAGATGTTGATTTATCTCGATTAATCGTGACTAATCCACAGTTGTACGTAATTGGATTAAAAATTTAATCGGTTGAACAATAGATTGTCGGTTGTTTATGACCCGAGTGCGTCTCCTTCCGCAGGACGTCGGTGTACGTGCTGGGCGTCATATCGAAGACCCGGCAGGGCTGCGAGGTGCTCAAACAGTATGGGTGGGATGCCGTCCGACATAGTCGCAGGACGCTGTGGCCCGTCACTCCGGACGAGGTCGACGCCCAGCTGACCTCTGAACTCTCCTCCGTGCCGAGCACGCTCAGCCTGAACTCCGAGTCCACCGGCTCACGTCACAACAGCGAGAGCGAATCGCAGCCCAGTACGTAAGACGTTCTTCGGGTCATTGACTCCGCCCGTCTGCTGCTTTGGTTCTCATCTGTTTTTTTCCTTACTCTTTCAGACATGTACATCATGGACGACGACAAGTGTGACGTTCTGGACCAATCCGACGAGTCCTCCTTTTATCTGCACCCTAAACCTGTCAAAGACCGCAGCCCCTTCACCATCCTGGCCTCCACGCGCTTCGTGCGCACCCGTTTCCTGAACTCGCTGTCTCTGCCCAGCAAAAAACTGCGATCTACCAGTGACCCCAAAACCCTGTTTGGATCCCGCACCCCTACGGATTTCAAGACCGGGAGCATGAGGCGGAACAGGACGGTGACCGAACCCTCAATTTACAGCGCAACCCAGGGGGACGTCTTTACCCCCATCTTCAACGGCAGAGGCATGCCCAAGAGTCCCACGGTCAGCGTGGAGACGTCTTTTGTCGGGAACCGGGGGAATTCTGAGGAGCACCTTGTGGATGGGCGACTGGTGAGGGGAGGGGGGTCCGGCTTTGCTCTGAGCGTCCTGGCAGGGCAGGGGCCTGTGGAGCACCCCGGTCGGGAGAAGGAGCGGGGCGGCCGGCCCCCTGTTCCCGGCGTGGGCCAG